CTGGAAATGCAAGAACACACACTATCTTCATGAAAATACCTCATAACTTGTATTAAAACACAACCACACACGAGACATTCAATCCATACAAACATTCACATAATTGTAGCTAGGGTTTACAAGCACACAAGTGAAAGAAAGGTCTACTCCATGCTAAGTAGAGGGAAAACACAAGGAAGAAAAGAGAACCATCTTGGAGATTGATAACACCCGAGGGGGGTGTTTTGATCAGAATTGCACAGCTTCTCAAGGTAAAACAAGGGACTCAGAAACAGAGTTTCAAACAAGCTCGGTTAAGCTTGTTTGAGACAAAATTTATGGAAAACGAAAGAGGAATCTCACACCATGTAGATAACATAATCGTTATGTCGATAACTTCGATGTAATTGAGCGTGATTCCTCAATCAATAGGCGAGGGTTCAGCAAGCTTTGATCGCAACCAAAACTAAAACAAACTCTCAACTCACACGTTGGTTGCCCTCAAAGCCTGGGCCTTTTTTGCTTCAAAAGAATCACTAAATTTACCCAAATTGAATCCCATGTAGGCTTCTCGAACGCCCTGTTCTTGAATTGGAGAGCACTGTTCTTCGTCGAGCAGATTGGGGATTTCTTCATCAGGGATCTCTATCATAATTCGACACTGTCCCGAGCTTCACCTGACTTCCAATTGCATTCATGTGCCGTTCGCCAGTGTCGACTCATCTCCTTCAACGTCGAATCGCCAACTTGAAGTTTTCGGCCATCGTCGTCATTCAAAAAGAAGGAACCCAGATTTTCGATTTCGATTTTGGGGATTTTGATTTCAGGTAACGCCACATTCAAAATTGACGATTTCTAAAGCTTCCTGGGACTTCCCTCAACGATTCCGTATTAGCAGTTTGGATTGAATCGTGCCCAAACTCTTTAACCAATAACCCTGAATTTTGGTCATGTTTGCTCATTTCTAGGGTTTTTTTGGCTCGAATTCAATCCATCAATTGAGGTTGAATTGATGCCAATGGATCCATGTGAGAGCTTCTTGGTGGTCAAGGGAAGGTTTCTGCACCGCTAGGATGGATTGACTTTCACCCCAAGTCTCCACCCAGTAGACCCTCTATCCTCCCCTACCTCGCCGTCGACGAGGAACAGAGCTGCTGCTTGTCGGGCCGGTGTGGGCTTCTTTCTCGTCGTAGAGCAGTAAGCACCAGCCTTCGGGAAATTAAACTCGTTCATGTACCCTTCCCTTCCTTCTCTTGAGTTCGATTGGACTCCAGTTGCCTTTGGTCGTTACGAACCTCGATCGGTGACAGAGGTGTCAGTTTGAGCTTCTTCCCTTCATGCTGGAAAGTATAGTAGTTTGATCTGCCATGGTGGGTAACTCCACGATCGTACTGCCAAGGTCTTCCCAAAAGGATGTGAGCAACGTGCATAGGAGCTACATCACAAAGAATTTGATCCTTGTATTGATCGATTTCAAACTCAACCCATGCCTGCTTTGTCACCTTCATATCTCCATGATCATCAAGTCAATGCAGGCTGTAGGGTTCGTGATGCTTGATAGTGCTCAATCCAAGATTCCTCACAGTCTCCAAGCTGACGACGTTGGTGCAGCTCCCGCCGTCGACCACCACTGACGACGTTTTCCCTTGGATTGTGCAGCGGGTGTGAAACAAGTTGTCATGCTATTGAGCTTCAGTCATTGCTTCAAGGGTGAGGAATCTTCTATTGACGAGGAGAGGCCCACCCGAAGGTTCCATCTCAATGTTCTCATCCACCTCCTCGTCTGTGTCCTCATCATCGACTCCCTTTTGTCCTTTACTTCGTCCTTCGAATAGTACTCACCATCTCACAGGATTAGTGCTTTCGGATTGGGGCATTGGAAGGATTTATGCCCTCTTCCATGACACTTGTAGCATTCCAATCTTTGATTTCCACTTGATAACACCCGAAGGGGGTGTTTTGATCAAAACTGCACAACCTCGCAAGGTAAAACAAGGGACTCAGAAAAAAGAGTTTCAAACAAGCTCGGTTAAGCTTGTTTGAGACTAAATTGATGGAGAAAAAAAAAGAGGAATCACACACCAGGGAGATTACACAATCTTTATGTCGATGCCTTCGATGTAATTGAGCGTGATTCCTCAATTAATAGGCGAGGGTTCAGCAAGCTTTAATCGCAACCAAAACCGAGAAATTTGGGGGTTTTGCTCAAATTCAAATCTAAATGGTACAATACACGATTGAAGCCTTTTATAGGCTTAAACAAACTCAAGCAAAGCTAAAGACTACGTAAGATCTAATTCAACAAGGAAACTAAATTGCACATGTAATCCGAATAGGACTAGGAATCCTTATGGGATTCGGATTGCTGGCAGTTCGAGGGAGCTTCTTTGGGAGCCTCGAAAATGGTCTTTCAAGCTAAATCAATCTCATCCAATTCCTTCCATGAGTTTAGAAAGTGTTCTAGTTTCCATTCCAACTCGAATCAACATCTGGACGTGTCCCAAACTCAATATATTAAACTCCAGAGTAGGCACCTTGAACTCGTTATTTGCCTTAGTAAAAAATAGGCAGATTCTCGGTTTTGACTTGGCAACTTGGAGAGCTTCAATCATGGATTTCCAGACTTCATCTTGAACTTCTAGGCCTTCCATCTTGCCTAGGGATACTCCACCTTCAAAACAAGTCATCAAACTCGAATTTTCATTGAATGAATTGAACGAACCAAGCCTCCAAAGTTGGTAACCTGAAACATAAAAAAAAAAAGTTAGCCAAATTTTATGTTCTTTGTTCCTCAATAACCTTTCTTCTTGATCAATCCATGGAAGCTTCAATTACAAGCAATTCGGGTTCATATCAAAGATGTGTGCCTTCTTCCTTGTGGTGTGGAGATCAACCTTGGAGGAAGAACTTCCCAAAATCAAGCTCTTGGATGAAATCCTAACTTATCTTCTCCTCTTGTTCATCACTTTCTTACTCTAAAAATCTGAAAAAGAAGAAGTCTCTCTCACTAGGCTCCTCCCTCTTCTCTTTCAGCTCAGCCCCTTTATATACCTAAAATGACGGCGTTGCACGGTCTTAGTTCTCGACCGTGAACATCTGGACCGACCCGTGATGTCAAGCAAAAATGTGTTGTTTCATTAAGGGAGTTCACGGTCTAGAGCTGGTCTTCCCGGTCGAGTGACCGTGAACTGGTTTATGCTGGCGAGATGGACAAATCCTTCTGGACTCCCCGCTCTTCACGGTCCATGTATGATCGTGAACTGCTGGCCTCCATCGTGATCTGCGACTGTTGCTCCCTTTTGACCTATTTCTACCTCTTTTCATTCAACTTTCATTCCATGGGTTGGTTTCACCTGATAGGATCTGAAACATACTAAAAACAACCACAACCTAGCATAATACCGAACCTCACCGAGTAAAAGTACCTCAAACATCTATGAAAAAAGGGGGCAAAAAGTGTACAAATAGACCCGAATAAGTGTTTTTCAAATTGATGGCAAGACTAAATGAAGGGTATTTTGGGAAGGAAAAATATTTACCACACTCAAACATTCTTCCTCACATATAAATACATAAAAAAACATAATCTAACCCATATACCCTCTCACCGTCGTTCACCTCCCTCTCCCACTCCTCCTTCTCTCCCGCAGAAGGCACTACCCTTCGCCCCCAATGTAGCCTGTTGCGCCCTCCACCACTGCCGTCGCCGTCTCTGCCTCCCTCCACACCTACCGCTGCCATCTCTCTCCCGCCGCCCTCATCCAGTGACACCGTTGTCAGCTCCCCTGCTTGCCTCTTCGGTATGTGTCCCTCTCCCACTACTTTTTCTCTCCTCCCTTTCGTTTTTTAGATCTGTAATTTTTTTTATTTTCAGATCTAATTTTTTTCTAGTAGTATTGATTTTCATCTAGTAGCGTACCAAATGGAGTGGTACCAGATGATAGTGGTACGCTGCCACTACCAGCTTCCAGATGGTAGTGGTAGCACTGTACTGGTAGCATACCACTCGAAAAAATCACTACCACTAGACTAATGGACTTATACATTTTTGCAGGTTGCCGGAGGGAGTCTGCCGTAGAGATTTCGTCGAAAGAAGTCTTTGGGAAGGAGTTAACCAGGAAGAAGTCTTTGGGAAGGAGTTAACCAGAGAAAAAGTCTGCTGGTCGAAGCGGAGTGGCTACTAGGAAAGGAAGAGAGATATAAATATATTTAGTGTAGGATTTAATTTTCAAAAAAAACGTGTATTTAATATTTGTGGCGTATTTGGAAGTCAAGAAACTGGGTTGCCTTTGAGGGAAAGCAATTTTTGATTCCTCAATTACTACGACAATATCACCATCAAATTTATGAGTAGGTGTCCTTACCAAAGGATAGACTGGGGCTGGATCGGGTACCTCGGCAGCAAAATATGGGGGAGGGTGATTTGCTGAGTGTCGTCTGTACGTGGGATGGTGCGGTAAGTGCTGACTCACATTCAGCTGGAGGGCTGATCTTAAAAGACGGTGGTGGAAATGTGCTATTGGCAAATGAATTGTTTCTTCAAAACATTATGGACCCTCTAGAGACCGAGAGACTTGTTATCTGCGAAGCTATTCAATGGTGTCAGGCTCTTGGCATCTCTCAAGTTAGGTTTGAGGGTGATGCGAATGTGCTTATTATTTCCGAGATTTTGTGGCTGCTGGCACATAATATTGGTTTTTGGGTTCGATTCATAGGTCGAAATAGCCCATTATGTGGCTATGAAGGTCCTGTTTTTGTCTTCGATTTCGTGTCGATTGTACGATTTTCGTGCGTGAGTTGGGTTCAAGATGTAATTTGTTATATTTTATTAATCAATGTGATCATCTTTTGTTAAAAAAACCATTTTTTGGTGAAAGTAATATGAATAATACAAAAAACTAATTAATAATTTTTTTTTTTCATACCCAAATTGTATTTGGTTGTGCAAGTGAAGCTATCCAACCTCCCAATACACGCACGGAAATGCCCACCCCTCACCGTAATAAACAGCACCACGTGGACATCAAAATCCACAAATCAAACAGCAACACGTGGACCTCCATATCACCGGCGGATTAAACACCCGCCTCACACTTACCGGTCACTCTATCAACTCCCTCAAAAAAAAAAAAACTCCCTTGAAACCGCCGGATCAAATTCCGTTGTGCCTCGAAGTTGGAGCCCCACAAGCGAGATTTAAATTCGTCTCTCTTCCCTCCCTCCTCCCGAAAAAGCAAAACCCAATCCACATTTCTCATTTCAATCTCCGCCATTAAAACCCTAGCAAAAACCTAACCCTAGAAATTCCTCCATTTTCTTTCCCATTTTTCACCGCCACGAAAATCTGAACAAAGAAAGGCTAGCTGACAAAAATGGCAAAGAAGAAGAGCCATAACCACAATCACAACGGCAAGACTGAGAACGACGAGACTCTGAACCATCCCCCGCCGCCGCCGATGCATCAGCAACCGGAGCAAGAACCAGTCCTGGCCATGGCGGATCAGCAGCCGCCGCTGTCGCTGTCACGGACTTCCTCCTTGGAAGGATCCGAGAATGAGAAGCTGAAGGCGCTGAACAAGCGGCTGATCGACACCGTGGCGGACAAGAGGAGGCAGGTGGAGGCCTTGGAGCGGGAGAAGAAAACCCTGGAGTCCGAGTTGGAGAAGCGCGGCGCGGACTTCGTCGTCGGGAGTGACGAGAGAGCTTGCTCGGAGATCGAACGTAGCATCGCGTTCGCGGCTCTCAAGGAAAGGGAAGTCGACGTCGAGTCATTAAAGAAAGAGAATCTTGAGCAGGAAGGTGAGATCGAGTCGCTGAAGGAGGTAATCGAGAAGTTGACCGGCGATCTCGAGTCCGGGAGGGAGCGGCTGAGCAGGACTTGCAGGGAGAAAGATATTATTGAAGGCGAGCTCTCCGGGAGGGTTGAGGAAGCTGAAGGTTTGAAGGCGATTGTCAAGGAGATGGAGGAGAAGGAAAAGACGAGCGAAGGTGAGATTCTTGAACTTAAGTTCGAAATTGAACGATTGAGTAGCCAGAAAGAAGTCGTAGAGGAGGAAGTCGAGTTTCTTAAACGGGTTAGGGATTCCGCTGAGATGAATTTGTCCGTTAGGGTGAGTGAAATTGAAGCTCTGAAATCTGAGATTGAGCGGATTCTTGATGAGAAGAATGCGATTGAGACTGAGAAGAGTGATCAGATCTTCAAGATTGGTTCCTTGGAGGAAGAAATCAAAGGATTGAATGATTCTGTGGCGAGTTTCACGACTGAGAATGGACTTCTGAGCGAGAAGGTGATTGGACTGGAGATGAGCTATGGCGATGCGATTGAGAAGGAGAAGACATTGAGAGAAGACATCGATTCCTTGATTGAAGCACAGAGGGAGAAGATCAAGATGGTCGAAGTATTGACAGAGGAAAAGGATTCTCTTGTGAAGATGATAGATTCCGTTAATGGAGAATTGGAGGGCAAGAAGGAATTGATTGAGAAGCTCTCTCGAGAGAAGGAAGAGGTCGAGGGGATATCCAAGAGGAAAGAGTCTGAAATTGCAGAGCTGCTGAACAAGGTCAGCGAGCTGGCCGATTCTCTGATTGCAGCGAAGGACTCCATCAAGACTAAAGAAGCTATAAACACCGAGTTAGCTTCTGAGTGTGCTCAGTACAGAGAGAGGCTGGAGCGAGTGAAGGTGGAGAAACATGATCTACAGATGGCTCTGGAGGACGAGCAGGGTTATGGAGCTAACTTGAGGTCTAAACTTGCAGAGGTGGAGGCTAGGATGGAAGCAGCTGCAGTCGAGCTTGAGAAGTCAAACTCTGAGAAAGAGACTGTAATGGAGGAGAAGAAGGCAGTGGAAGCCGAGTTTGAATCATTGAAGAAGCTGAATGGTGTGATTGAGAAGAAGCTTGCAGAGACACAAGTGGAGAATGGGGAATTGGAGGGTAAACTGAAATCAAGTGAGATGAAGCTGGAGCGAGCTTTGAGCCTCCTGAGCAACACTGTGGAATTGGTCTCCCTAGGCAGCAACAGCAATGGATCCGTAGGTGCAAAGGTTGAGGAGAACAAGGTTGAAGAACAAATGGAAGCGATCAAGAGCTGTTTCAGAGACAAGGATGCAAAGGTGGAGGAGATGAAGCAGCGTGTTGGAGCTCTGGAGAACTCTGTTGCAGAAGCTGAGAAGAAGAAGAGCTTCTGGGCTATGGTTTCATCTGTGACTACAGTGGTGGCTGCGGCTTCACTTGCCTTTGCTGTTAAAGTGCGTTAGAAGTGGGCAGCAGAAGCCACAGCTCTCTTAGTTTCTGTTTTTCATAGGAACTAAAGAGAAGGTATCATCTTATCTACCACTCTAAACGTCTCTCTAATTGGTGCTGGTTTTGCTACTTGTTAACCTCTGGCGTTGTTGTGTTCCCTTAACACAGTAATGAGATTTCATCTAGTTCTAGTTCTAGTTCCTTGGAATAAAGTGAGTCTCTTGATTTTGATGCTCAATCCTCTCCGTGTTTTTGTTTTCTTCTTCTTCTGGGTTGTGTTGTTTTTCCATGGCTGAATCGATTGAATGACTTTCACCGGAAGGGCAGTACTGGGAATTTCGTATTGTTCTGAATTGAATGATGGGTATTATATTAAAAGCTTATTATGGGGAAGAAGATAACAATGGAATCCGTTAATTGAGTGGATAATATGGGCAGCAAAGAACAGAATGGGCAGTTGCACCAGAATACGAAGTCGTTCCATTGAGCTTGTAAAAACGAGAAAGAGCCGTGGAGCTTGTGCCGCCGTCTGAGAACTGAGAAGGAAGAAGGCAAAAACGAACCTACACGTGGCGGATGATGTGGCAACATAGCAGACATTTGGTTTGGTTTGGTTTGGTTTGTGCAAACATCTGTACTCCCCAAGGCAGTCTGTGATGAGATTGATAAGATAGTTAAGAGGCTTTGTGCGGGGAGTCAAGGATGGAAAGAAAAAAGTTTACCTTTTCTCTTGGGAAAAAATTTGCACACCCAAAAAACATGGCGGGTTTGGTCTTCGATCGGCTAGATGCCTCAATTTGGCCTTTTTGGTCAAATTTGCTTGGCAGATGCTTTAAGGAACGGGTTATTATGACAACACTCCTGTCCCTTCGGGGACATCCCATATTATGACAACACAAGTTGTTATAGTGACAACACTAGTCTTCCACCAATACGAAGGTAGGGATGTGATGACTTTTTATTAGTTGAGTTGACCTAGTGTAAAATCAAAGCAGGGGTATAATTGTCATTATGAAAAAATGTTGAAATAATAATAAAAAATAGAAAAATAGAAAAAATTCTTTTTTATTTTCTGCCCAAAAATTTGGTCGCCGGAAACTGGTCGCCGGTCACCGGAATATGTTTTTTTGTCGTCGGAATATGCTATTTGTCGCCGGAATATGCTTACCGGCGTCGGAATCTAGTCATCGGGGCCGGAATATGCCTATCGGCGTCGGAATCTGCTCACTGACGGTCACCGTTGACCGGTCAACGATCTTCGTCGACCGGTCAACGATCACCGGATGTTATGGTCAGTATTGTGAGATTTATGTTTTGGTTTCTCATATTTTTTTATGCCTTTTGTGGTTTGCTTTATTGTGTTTGTGGTTTGCATTGAGAAGTTTCTGGTTTGTTTTCAAAAACTTTGTGGTTTGCATTGTGAGGTTTCTGGTTTGTTTTAATATATTTGTGGTTTGCATTAGGACGTTTATGGTTTGCTTTTTTGTGGTTTGATTTACTGTGTTTGTGTTTGCATTAGGAGGTTTCTGGTGTGCTTTCGCAAATGTTGTGGGTTGCTTTGTGAGGTTTGTGGTTTGTTTTAGGAGATTTGTGGTATGCATTAGGAGGTTTCTGATTTGCATTAAGAAGTTTCTGGTGTGCTTTCGAAACTTTTGTGGTTTGCTTTGCGAGATTTCTGGTTTGTTTTAATATATTTGTGGTCTGCATTAGGACGTTTTTGGTTTGCTTTATTATGTTTGTGGTTTGTATTAGGGGGTTTTTAGTGTGCTTTAGAAATATTTATGGTTTGTTTTACCGTGTTTCTGGTATGTTTTAGTCAATTTATGATATGCATTAGGAGGTTTCTGATATGCTTTCGAAATAATTGTGGTATGCTTTGTAAGGTTTGTTATTTTATCCGACGTTCTTACTAGATGAATGGAATTAGTAACAATAATTAGTAATGTGTATACTTACCAGGTTCGTATACATAATTACATAGTTCTCTCTTAATTAATTATGTTTTCACACATAATTGGTATGCTAGCAATTACTGGTTTTTTAGATGAGCCATACTAGCAATTTATAAGCGAAAAATCGTATGGCTTACTACTTTTAAAGTAAATGTGTCAAGAACCAGTTGATCCTAATAACTCGAGTTGTTGGGAGAAGGTTCTGCTGGATCTTATACCATACTCTTACACGCCCCCTCAAACGAAAGCCAACCCATGGACTTGAAGTTTGCACAGGCCTACCATACCTTGTGCTTTAATAAACTGTTAATATTGGGGGTCGTGGAGACTCGAACACATGACCTTTCGGTTCTAGGATCTGATATCATGTCAAGAACCAGTTGATCCCAATAACTCGAGTTGTTGGGAGAAGGTTCTGCTGGATCTTATACCATACGCTTACAAAATGTGCATTGCCAAACAAAATCATTTCAATCCCTTTAGCGCTTAAAAACCCTAAAATTGAGTACCAGAAGGTCAAGTCAACTAATTTCTGAAGCCAATTTACAGAAGCATGATAGCAACCGAGATACAAATATATGCAAATTTATGCAAATGTGTAGCTGTAGCTAAAACGAGTGGCCCTCGGACCAGCTCTTCTTATTTCGTTTACACAATTGTTTCAATACAACCATCCCTCCGTTTCCGTCTAATCTACTCATCTTCACAGTACCAAATTCCCATTGTTGAGAACAAGCGAGGTTTGAGCTCTTCTTATTTCAGAATTGAAGAGAACAAACGGCCTATATCTACTCTGTTCTACCAAGTCGAAGCGGCGATAGTAGCTAGGAGGAGATTGGCTTTAGCTTTTGACGGTGGAAGCAATTGAAGTTGTGGATGCGGAAGCAACGATGAAATTGACGGCGACCGATGGGTTCTAGAAGGAGATTTCAGCGATAAAAACGCCTGGTGATAGAAGAAGCAGGAGCGGCGTGGAAGAAGCAGGGGCAGTGGAGAAGCGTTGCCGATGCGGCGGTGGTCGGAAGGCAGGCTGTTGTGTATCAGCCCGCCGACTCCTCCCTCGAGGGTTTCGGATTCAGATCTTCTTCAACTGACCTGGATCCGAACCCTGGCTACTCCGAGGGCCCCTTCGGCTCGATCACGCCGAGAACGGAAACGGCAATGGCTACGGCGACGCTGACAATGGCATCTTCACTTCCGATGGTCCTGTGCTGCCTCCGCCGACTGAGATGCAGGAGGAAGGTGCTGCTCTTCGCGAGTGGCGGCGGAGATGGATTAAATAGGTTTTATTTTTATTTTATTTTTTAAGTTAAATTACTCTATTACCCTTAATGAATCCTGTTGTTACAATAACAACAAAGGAGCTGTTGTTATACTATCCGTTCACATGCTTTAACAATGATAAGTCCCTTTAGGTGCAAGTTTTACTAGGAAGGTATTTCAAGCACAACGATGGTAACATCATCTCAAGGGAAAAAGAAAAAAAAAATCACTCTCGTTTGTGGAAGGGCACCCTGCAAGTTATGCCCATGATGAACTCCGCAAGCTGCTCGAGTATCAAAGACGAGAAGACGGTGCATCAATATAAATTGGATACATGTGTCCTAAGGAGACTTTAAAACTGAGAGTCCAACGATATTTCTCCCGATAGCGTTTCTTCTCCAACTCTTTGAACTAGATAGTACAACACACTAGACACTTTTATTTCTCCGGTATATTTGTTAGTAAAACGAAATATGATTGGTAATTGAACTTTTGCTAACAACTCGAGTTAAATAGATCAACTGGTTATTGACAATAATGTCAATGCTTTTATTTCTCATATAGCTTTTGCTACACCCTCGGAATCAAAATTTGCCAATGTGTCAATGCTCGTCACTCACAATGTCACTAAAGAGCTTTTTAGTGTTGTGCATCCATGCCCATGATGGGGGTGACTTCACAAATCACAAGTTGTTGATCACGGGTAGGCATAGTCGATTTTGGGTAGGTCGAAGGCGAAGGACTGACTTGATATCATCCTCCTGTCAACATTGAACACTTGATATCATCCCTTCTTCTTTTCTTTGGAGGATGATTGGTTGACGACCAACGTAATCCCATGTTGGGTTCAGACGTAAGAGCAGAGGCGGACCCAAGGCTGGACATTCCTAAAATTTTGGGGGAAATTAACGAATTATCTGTAGTAGTTTGAGTATAAAAAAATGGTAACACATGAAAAAATGGTAACACGTGACACTTAGTTATTAGTGGACATGTTTTCCATTAAACTACAATTCTTGTTGTTGTTGTAATTTTACGTAAATATAGTTCGGTCACTTTTCTGACTCCACTGGACTTTGAGCATTATTATCATTGGGTGGAATGATGAGTTATTTCGTGGATAAGAATGAATTTGATGAATTATCTCAATTGATGGTGGGTACAAAAGTGAATCTATCATGTCTATGGATCTATTTGCTTCTCAAAGTCTTATTGATTTTATCGGTTGCAACTACAAATGTTGAGAGATATATTTTGGTTTTGGGTTACATCAAGACAAACTTCGGAATCGAATAGGTGATTGGTTCGTGAATGATTGTCTAGTAGGATAGATTGAAAGATATTTGTTGAGCACTATAGACAGTGAGTTTTTTTGCTTGTACTAGTATGATATTTTTTATTCTATAAATTTTATTCAATTTGTCATTATTAATTTTAATAGGAAACCCCTATATAAATTTCCTTGGTCAGGTACTATGTAAGAGGGGCTAGAGCTCAAATTAAATTCCTTGTATCTCTTCTTTTGGAAAGTGGGTGAAAACTAGTGAGAGAAAGTTTCGTCGCTCTGTTCGATCCTGTGGGTTTCGGGGTTCGCCGGGCCTATTGGATCGCGTCGGCACCTGCGCCGGCGCGTCTTCTTTCTTTACCTGATCTGATGAGTGGTGCGTCGAGCTCAACGGCGACGGGAGGCCAGCCTTCAAGGCCATGGGCACACTTATTTGGAATCCCAGAAGAAAATCGTCTGTGCCATGTGAAGCCTGAAGTGGTAAATGGAGGGATTCGCATGCCGAGAGAGTTGAAGGAGGCGGGGTTGGCTCGCTCGAAACATTGTCTGGTGGGTCAGTTCCTCCAATCTCCTCCTGATCAAATTGTTCTGCGTAGATGGACGAATCGGCTTTGGGGGCGGGATGGCATTGTTAGGGTTTCTCTGTTGACTGATCAACTGATTTTGATTCAATTGCCTTCTCAAGCAACGTGTGACTTGATTCTAAATAATGGGCCGTGGTTCTACTATGAGAATATGCTTTATCTTCGAACTTGGGTCCTTGAAATCAGTACTGAGGACTTGGGTCGCAGAGCGCTTCCGATCTGGGTGCGTCTCACAAATATTCCTCTTGAATATATCGACTCTCCGGGGCTTAGTCGTATTGCAAGCTGGGTTGGCACACCATTGGGA